CTTGATCAGCATAGAAGAGACCGGTGACAAGGACTGTGTAGGTCAATTTTCCATTAGGTTTATCTGGGGCAAGCCATTTTAACTGAACTTCTTTGGACCCATCAACAGTAGCAAATATATCAACTGTTCCCTCGGGGAAAGCTTCCATGGTCCGAGCTTCTACCTGTAAGTTTAACCATGAGATTGAGGTTTGTTACCATAGTTTACAAATAGAGAAGGAATAAGAAATGCAAAATTTTAAGGAAAATTATTTAGTTAGAAAAAAAAAAATGTAACTAACACTTCAGGTGTCCTAATTTTTAAGCATTTTACTTTCTATTGTTTGAAGCTCTCCAGCAACTATCGTACTTTATATGGAGACTCCTGTAAGGAACAGGAAATAAATACTGGGAAAGAATGAAAGATTAATTTCTTGAAAATATCATTGCACCTCATGTGAATGAATGATCTCAGCTTAGCGCTAGAGAGGAAGCAGCAAGAGAAGACCACAGATTTTTTAGTTTCTGCATTTTAAAAGACAACTGTAAGGAACATGCATTTAAATGCTGTAGTAAAATACTGTAGATATTTCAGAGAAAATATATCCTTTGGGGTGTATTGGTTACTCCCTGAATTAATTTCTAATTTCACCTAACAAATATAAGTTGCAATAAATAGTAGATCTTTAAAAGAGAACAAAATATGTTTATAGAACTAGAAAATGTAAAGAATATGGAAGATTTTTTAATATCAATAAATACTGGTTCAATATTATAGAAATTAAGAATTTAAATTTAATAACTTGTAGTAAATGTTCAGTGCTGTGGAACAAAATCATTTGCTATGATGTTACTTATGGCAACAAGTTGGTTTCTCATACATTAATTATTTGGTGTTTCCTAAGGTATAACATGGTTTCACACCTTTCTAAGTGCCTCTCAGCTACAGGTTCATGGGAGTGCTAATAAACGCTATTTTTAATCTGCCACACCTGCTCTGCCATCAAAATAACCAAACATACTTTCTCTGTCCTTGAAACAAGAATGTTTTATTTTTTAGCATGTAAAATTTGGGAAGCTTTTTCTTTATAAGTACCAGGTTAGATCTGTGATGTGCATCAGTACCTCTACATGTGTTTCTATATTTATACACTCTATTATATTTAAAATAGCTGAGCACTTGCAGTAAACTCAATAGGATAAAGTACATGCTTAAAGATAAACAAATGCTTCACAGATTTATTGGATCAGTGACACATTGATTATTTGGGTACTTTAGTCAAAAACATCCTTATGGAAGAATTTGACTGAACTGTGCCTTCTAAGCTAAAATAATTTCCTGTAAAGTTGTGCTACTAAATGCTGGTACTCCAATCTCATCCCATCAGAAACATGGAGAAATTAATATAAACCATTTTTTCTACTGAAGAGGATTTAAATATTCTTAAAACAGTATGAATTTATAGCAAACTATTTTATAGCAAACTATACCACATCTGAAACAGCTGCCAACAGCTGTATTGTGTCTCTAGCCTTTTCTTTATGACCTGTTACTCTTTCCAGTATAAAACATATTGAAACACTGTTTAGAATCAGTATATGTAGTATCTTCTACAGGTACACCTCTGCAGTGTATTTTGCAAGCAATATTTTGTGCAAAAAATATATACCTTCTGTATATAAACATATGATGCAGAAAACCTGTTTCATGTTTCTTTTTCTAAACATTATTTATACATAATTCTGTAATATTTTCAGATATTTTTATTAATAATAAAAAGACTTAATAACACTATATGAGTAGCGCTAAATCATAGGATTAAAAAAAATAATATAGGGAAAACACTGTTATCTGTCTAAGTTTTTTAAAAAATGTATAGCATACACATAAGCTAAAACCTGAAATTTCAGTTTAATAGCAGTGGGTTGAGATGACAAATATTCAGTGTTGACCATTTCCATTTATTTACAAGATATTTACAAAAGCTAACACTTTTCAAAACCAGAAGAATTTTATAATCTCCTGAATTCCTCTAAAGAATCTATTAGATGTTACATTATTTCTTGATAATCCATATTTTTATTCCTTTTTAAGCAACAAAAGCCAATTAGAACAGATGCAAAAGCAATATCTTGGCTTTCCTAGAAAGAGATTAAAATTTAGCATTTCTTAATTTACATGTTATTAATTTGTATCTCACTTGAAAATAAATCAGTCACTGGAAAAAATAAATTAAACAAAAACTATCTAGCCCACAGTAACTGCTAATGTTCCCATAATCGATTAAGATCTTCAGAGCCACCTTCAGAAACATAAGCTGGAGAAATTCCGTATTTAGGATAGTCACATAGCATTCATTCATCGATTAGGTCACATTAAGCACAAGATCAGCAACAAAAATAGCTGGAAGCATCTCAGTTTACTACTGGGAGATGTCTCCCATACTATTTAGAGTACAGGCAAAACATTTGGTTGGTTTTTTTGTTGTTGTTTTTTGTTTGTTGGTTTGTTTTTTTTCAAGTGCTGGATTTATTCTGTAATTGATATAAAAATCTTTCAAAAAAATCAGATGAAGATGCAGTGCTTTAAATTCCTGGCAGCACTTAGGTGAGCCTAAATAAAGATGTTGTACTTCAATTCCTGTGATTAGAGATGGATCGCTGGCTTTAGAAAACAGTTTGTGTACTGATCATGGGATGCAGATGGGTATTGGCTACAGCGACCCCTACTTTGAATTGTTTCAAAAGTCAAGTTATACGTCTGCAGTTCAGTGGAGAGGTGAAAAAAGGCTACTAAAAATATTTTTTAAAACCCTAATACTGCTGTTCTGTTCTGTCCTTGTGATGTCTATTTAATAGGATAGAAGTACTGAAAACATACATATTTCATCTGTATGCAAACTCTGGTAATGACTTAGATATCACTACTAACAAAATGGATTAAGTTACCACACATCAAACACCTTAAAACAAGGTTTGCTTATGGGGTATATATGAAATTGTAAAAATTGCACAAGAAAAATTGGCAAAAAGCCATTCAAGCTTTTAAGAGTAAATATCGTTCAAAGTAGAGCAAGCTATAAAATGTTTAATAGTCATAAAGTCTAATCTTCTACAGATAGATGATGTTACTAGCATTTGAAAGAAAGCAATCTTGAAAAGAATATTGAAAATACGACTAACGAATTATATCATAACAGTAAAATCTGGAGGTTCTTTCCAGAGGACAAGATAGTGATATTACAAATTATGATGAAAAAATAAACAGAACAACATAAAAAACTCCCAGATATTATTTTTTTCTTTTTTATTCCTTTTCTTGTTAGCAAAATTAAAAGTGCACATATAAAGTTGAATTAAACAAAAAATTAGATCTCAGAATTAACACAGGTTTCTTTCTCAGTTATGCCTGAAAACAAAACCAAGCATAGTAGATATTATTTCAGTTATTCATCAGCTACAGTACTATGAAATCATACTGGACTTAACAGTTCTGTTACATGTCTAAAAATCTTTAACAAAATAAAAAAGCCTCAGAAGGCTTCTGCTTCACATGCCAAATTTAATATTCCTGTATTCTCAAATCCTGAAAAAACTGAGCGCTGTACAAGACTGTTAAAATATGTCCATTATAATATTTTGATCACATACTTGCATTCAAAAGATATTTATGTATCCCCATATTTTCGTTGCTCCTGTTGCCACTTCTGGCTTCTGTAATTCTCAAATTAACTTTAGTCCTTTCAGTCAGGCAGCTAGAAATATGCTCGTTACTGAAACAGTAACTCTTTCTTTATATACATCCTTATAAATCTGGCTAAAGCACATCTGCACCTTTCAAACATATTAACTCTATTTAATTTAAATAATGTGTGTTTCAGCTCAAATTTTGCCTTTCTTCACTGTAGTATGTTCTACTTTGGAACAGTGCCTAACAGTGACCTATCAAATCTTTAGCAGCTCTTAAACAGGATTTTTTTTTAAATGTCACATTTTGCCAGATGGGTTAGTACTGACCAGAGTGAATCATCACCATTTACTCTGATATTCACTGTCATCTGACATTTATTACACTCCCAGAATGCAAATTAAGGTACTCACCAGTGGACCAAAAGCACAGCCTTTTGCAGTACACGCCTGGACTCTGAAGGAATGCAGACTCCAAGGAGGAAGTCCATAAGCATAACAACTTAGCTGTGATGAATTTTGCATCAGAACACCATCCATATACAATCCATAGCTAGTAATAACACCTATAAAACAATGTGATAGCACTCAATATCTAAAGAGCTACAGAGTTTAGAAGAAAACTAATGCTACAGGCATTAGGGTGTTAGTAGGAGTATTTCAAACAGTTTGCACTTAATCAGGTATGTGTTTAAGGAGGACTGCGTATGCAACACTTAGAAGAAACACATTCTCCCATCTTTCAACTGTTGAAAACCTTGCAAGTGTATTGCATGTTTTGAAAACAATTACACTGTTCCAGAGATACCCCTTAACAAACGTTTCTGAAGAGCAGCTAACATCACCTTGGAATCATGAAAAGTGAGGCAATTCTTTTTCACAACCTACTCTGCATATGGCTATTGAAACAAGAACTAGAAAGACACACAAAACCATCTCACATCTTAACAGTTTTAGACTTAAAAAAAAATAATGATCTACAATGTAATTGAAACATTGAAGGACAATTTAGGACAGTGCTATAATGACAATAAATTGGTAACAAATAATTTTTTCACACAAAACACCTTACTGATACTCATTCTTGTTTATAATTATCTGAGATTTTATGCATTTTGCCAATAAACTAGATACTTAATTTTTTATTTTTTAAACAGTTTTACCCACTTTTCTAAACAAAACCACAAAATAGTATGGATTGCTGTTTCCTTCCCAGTATGCCGTAGAAAAAGTCCTGAAGTAAATTATTCCTTATCTATTCAAACTAAAGAAAGAAAACACATTTTCAAACATTAACAAGACTTTTAGATACAGGACAGAATTGTCCTTCTGGTGTAATTGGCTAATACTAACTCAAAAATTTCAGGTGATTGTTTATTCCATTTATAAGGAAATCTAAATCTCTGTTCTTCCAAAGGTGCATGATAGTATAGCATGAATCTTGTACAGACCATATATACACAGTGTTTTGAATTTAATGAACTAAAGACCAAATTTTACAGATTTGCTTAGACTTTGGAAGCTGAGCTTGCAAAGGAATCCTTTTTCTCAGGGTTAGTCCTCCATCTTACTCACTTCTGAATATTCTCCTTTTTTTAAAGCTAATTAAGTGTGAAATCTTAAGGCCAATAAATGCAAAGCTATAGGATTCATTTGAAGTGAGTTCAGTTTAGAGGATGGCTTCTAATCTTCTCATTATAGAAAACATCTTCATAATGTAAAAAGTATAGCTCAGTTTGTCTTTCTTTCCCTTAAAACAGAATTGTTTGAAACTACATTGAGGAAGATTCTGTGTGAAACTGAGAAAAGATTTTCCCCTCTACTGAATGAAGAAATGCTTCGTAAATAAAAGTGTATACACAACTGTTTTGGCTAAGCTTTGAAGAGTTATACCTCAAAAGACTTATATGCTAAAGCAATGCAGAGTATAGTGAAGTTATTCACAGATTCCTTGATTTTCTCTTTTCGAAAAGTGAGAGGCTAAACTCAAGTCAGCAGAGACGTGCATGTGGGAGGAAGTTCTGGTAAATCTCATACTATCAATCCTACCACATTTGACAGGCTTCCTAAAGCAAAAATCCCTTGGGGTTCTGTGTCCAGTTGCTTGTAAAGCAAGGGCATTAGTGGTTGGTATTTGCCCTACATTGAATAAACAAATTTTTTATATATATAAAAGTATTATATTTATCTCAGAGGAAAAATGTGAACACTGGCATTAAGGAGGTGTTCTACATGGGAAAAAAACCCCAATGCTGAAGTACCTGTATCAGTAGCACTAACCCTTTAAAGTAATGGGTTATTAATTCATTTGATTATTTATGGTAACAGCATGAATCGTGATGAGATCATTTGATATTAATGTGGGTGTCATATGTACCTCTACAGGATCTCCACTGTAACTCAGTATTAATTAACTGGATAGTTATTTTAAAGTGTTCCTAAAACCACAGCACTATGGAGCATCTACACTCTGAGAAGCAGCTTGCTGGTCAATACTGAGCTTTTGTTAGTCCTCCCAGTACTGTCAGAGAGCAATCGTCTCTAATAAGCTGATCTATTATCTCTTGATTTTACTTCTGCCTTTGCCTTATATGACTCTGAAGGACAAAATTACAGAATGAAAAGAAAGAAAAAATGTACATTTCAGAACAAAAGGGTCTGATTTGGAAATGTAAAGCCTTTTTTTAAAATCAGGCAATAATACTTTTCATCCAGGGATAAATAACTTAGCCTCTCTATTTCAGCGGTGTATGTTTCCCAAGCATACTGAGAAGTTCAAAGTTTGTCCAAAGTTTATGTACTTCTCAAGACTTGCTGGAAATTCCTGGTTTACCATCCATGAAATACTAAAGAGTATGACACATTTTTGTGGTTTACAAGGTTTCACAAGTGACACATGGTCACCAAGAAAAGATGCAGTTTCTCCATAATTATTAAGTCCAGGTAGCTAGATTCAATCTTGGTTTCACTGAAGACAAAATTTCAATTGACTATAGTACAATTATGTTTAATTTTTGAAAGAAATCCAACAATGCAAATTAAGCTTAAACTGTAGAAAGCTGCACAATCTTCCCTTTTTCTTCCTCTTCTCCCCTCCCTGAGTAAGGCCATATAAACTGTCAATGATATTCCAGACATTAAAGATGAAAAAAGGTTTTGAATCTGAAGTGATACAAGCACTTTACTCTTAAGGTACAATCTAGAGGTCAAATCTTAAGCAAACATACTTTTACCTACATCAGTTTCACTGACCACAAACACAAGTTGTTTCTCCACAAGCACAAGGATTTGTAGAACCAAGTACTGAATTAGTTCACTGAATATAAACCAGTTTTTACTATACCTAATATTTCCCATACATATAGCCTTGGAAGATACAGTCCAGATCATGACTTGATTTTATCTACGACATGTACACAAGTAAAGTGAAGTTTTTGAGAAGTGATCATCTACAGAAAATTTTCAATGGTGAAAAGAGATAAGGTCACTTTTTTTTATGTGGATGGCTTTTAAAAGAGCAGACCTCAAATTATATGGCAAGACTATAAAGGATATGTTCTGAAGAATATATGATTCTTTATTGAAGCCACTAGAATAGTGAAGGCTCAAAACAGAATATCTGATGTCACATGCTATTTCATAAGCTTCTCCATATCCTGCCCTTGACTAAATGTTCAATACTGCTTATATTACACTATCTACATATGTGACACATGTCTGATAGAAATAGAGGAGGGTCCTGCTGTAAAATGACATACCTCTGGGCCATGTCCCATCAACCATTTTATTGTTGGTTTGAAAATGAGTCAAAGAAAATGTGCATATTAGAAATATATTCAGCATATAATCTTCCAAATCTTTTTTCTACACCAGGCACATAAATGACATTTCCGAAGCAACTTTCAACAAACAATTAAGTGTATAATTTTCTATTTTCTATTAAATGAATTTTTTTTCACCAAAAAAAAAAAAAAAAAAGTAAATTGGCCTTAAATTCAATGAAAAATGGATCCCAGAAATTCAATATCCATGTTTGGATAACATTAGCCTTTGATGTCTAGATGAACTCTTATCTCAAAGCTTGATTGTGTCATCTTTATGAAGAAGCCAAACAGCCTTTAATCCTATTTGCCACCTTTAGCCTAAAGGGTAGCATATTAATCCCCCTTAATTTTTTTCTAACTGGTGGCAGACAGCTGGACTCCATATATATCAAGAGAACATAGTAAAGTCTATGCTGTCCAAACCCCAGTCAGCCTACACACCCATTCAACATCAGTGACAGTAATAAGTTTCCTCAGCCCATTGAAATAAACAGTAACTTGTCATACAGTATCAGAAGAAAGAAGGGAGGTAAAGGAATGGTTCCAGAGAACTACTAAGGAGATCATCGTTTATGATATGCAAATGTTTGCAGTTCTGAGGTTTCCCCATGAAACAAAGCCAAGTTGAGTCATTTCAAAAGCACTACTTACACCTAGTAGACTAAAACTCACCGAGTTCAAACCAATTAAATCAAAAGCAGGAAACTTCTATCTTTTTGGAAGAAAAAAAAACCCAAAACCTTAGAAACTTCTGACTATGAGAATACACAAGTAAAATGCTGACGTAAGAAAATTTAGAGGAAAGTTCCTTCTGCTTTTCTTTCTTATATTTCAGTTTTCTCAACTATGATATTTTTCAGCCTCCTACACAGTTTTAAAATACTGACACAGAGAGCGATTATAAATGACATGGCCACTAGGCATCCCAAAAGATATGCTGAGAATGAACAAAATAAAGTCACCGAACAATGTAATCTTTCCTGATTAAGCAGTTGCATAGTGAGAAGTTTTACACCTTTTTTTAAAAAAAATTATTTTGCGAAATAAGGAAACGGATGAAAATAAGAAATTAGAAAGAAAAAAAATAAGAGAATGGGAAAATATGTGCTTAGTTATATGATCTTTTTGAAACTCCCCAAAAAGTGGGGCAGAAGAAAGAAGAAAAATGAAAGAAAATGTGCATATCCCTTCTTGACCACTGTGCTAGTGTGAACATATTATTATTACAATGAAAAAACAAAGTCCCTGCTCTCCTAATACCCTTCTGGCTGCCAAATGCTCATGAGATACCAATTCTTCCACTCTTAACTACTCATCAAGAGCTCACAGGTGAAAAGCAGCAGCCTTTCCCTGCAAGGCAGGACAGCAGCAGCTGATTTAGCCAAACCCCTTTCATCAGTTCCTACCCTAAGGAAAACCCTTTAACAGCAACCTGCATTCTATCCACATATACCAAAAAATAAGAACAGTACCAAGGAAAAAAATACTCCATGGGCTTCAAATAGTGAGAATATGTGAAAATATTGGAGAATATTTTAAAAGTGGAAAAATACACACAGAAGGCCTACACAGGTTGTATTCAGGATTACACAGGAGTAGACTATATGGCAAATGTGGTAACTACCTAAATGCACTGTTCAAAACTGCAATATAGAGGTGAACAGTGTTGTCATCAAGGCTGTTGACACCTCCAGTTTCCATGGATGAAAAGACAAGGGACAGAAGAATACAATTTCTTTTATAAAACTCCCCTGATTCTTATCCCATCTGCTGCTCATCCAGTTCAGATCCACAGCTTTCCTAACAAGCTATTTATTGTATTTCATAGAATCAGAGAAACATTTCCATTTAGGTTGGAAAGGACCTTTAAGATCATTGACTCGAACTGTTAACCTAACCCAACACCACATGTCCCTAAGTGCCACATCTACACATCTTTTAAATACCTTCAGGTATGGTGAATCCACCACTTCCCTGGGCAGCCTGTTCTAGTGCTTGACAACCCTTTGGTGAAGAAATTTTTCCTAATATCCAGTCTAAAACTCCCTTGGAGCAACTTGAGGCTGTTTCCTTTTGTCCTATCACTTGTTAAGTGGGAGAAGAGACCAACACCCACCTCACTATGATCTATTTCCCTTCAGATAGTTGTAGAGGGCGATGAGGTCTCCCCTGAGCCTCCTTTTCTCCAGGCTAAACAACCCCAGCTCCCTCAGCTGTTCCTCATAAGACTTGTGCTCTAGACCCTTCACCAGCTTTGTGGCGCTTCTTCGGACACACTCCAGCATCTCAGTGTGTCTTTCTTGTAGTGAGGGGCCCAAAACTGAACACAGTATTCGACATGGGGCCTCATCAGTGCTGAGTACACAGGGACAATCACTTCCCTAATCCTTCTGGCCACACTATTTCTGACACAAGCCAGGATGCCATTGGCGTTCTTGGCCACCTGGACACGCTGCTGGCTCATGTTCAGACGGCTGTCAATCAACACTCCCAGGTCCTTTTCCTCCAGGCAGCTTTCCAGCTGCTCTTCCCCAGGCCTGTAGCATTGCGTGGGGTTGTTGTGACCCAAGTGCAGGAACCAGCATGGAGCCTCGTGGAACCTCACACATTTGGCCTCAGCCCATCGATTCAGACTGGCCAGAACCCTCTGTAGACCCTTTCTACCCTCAAGGAGGTCAATACTCCTGCCCAGCTTGGTGTCATCTGCAAAATTTCTGAGGGTGCTCTAACACTCTCAGTTGTTTCCTAACAACCTATCCATTATTTTTAAAAGGAGAGCCAAGCTGTACATAGTAAATGCTGTATTAACAGAACAATACAAAGAACAAATTTAGGTACATATTCCGAACTTTTATTGTTTTAAAGGAAGCATGTGGAAATTTATTTATCAAACTATAGGTCTTTATCCTGTGCTGTTGCATATATAAACATATGTATGTATATATTTATATTTATTTGATTAGCTAAAACACTCTCTGAACTATTTGGATTTTTTCCCATAATGCAAGGATACCAGGATCAGGTCCTGACATAAACTATAACATGTAAAAAATGCCCATTTCACTGTAAATTATTCACTTCAGCCACTAAGCCACATACATGGTCTTTCTGCCTTCCTGCCTCCCCTCCTCCCCTTCCTCCCCTCCCATCCCTTACCCCTGCCCCTTTTTCCTTCCTCCTTGCTTTACTCTAAGCCTTTGCCACAGATGCTGATGGAATTTTAGAAACAAGGTTAGAGGGTTTCTAAGGGGCTAGGAGGCAAATTCTTCCAATATGACTCCTATACAAAGAACCATTAAATATCAAATACATTATTTAACAGCAAATGACATACTCATTTCTTTTTAAAAGTAATGTAAGAACTTAGAGAATATTACATATATGTAGCTCTTACAATCACCGTTTTTGGGGGAATCATTTAAAGTGTCTTGTAATGAAGCTGTACAAGTTGGATGTGCTCCACCACACTGAAAGCAGGCAAAAACTTTCAGGGGAAAAATGAAATTCATGTGAAACCACTGTGAGAAACAATTGATATATCAATATTATAAGCTAATGAAGGAAAATATTTCTGTTGCTTTAAATTCAGTGATTTCTGTATAAACGTCCTCTGCTGTGATTTAAACTGTTAGATGCATGATTGAAAAAAATCAAGGTGAATTCAAAGGCCGTATGATATTGTGCAATATCATCAGAAATGTAAAATTTGTCCAAAAGTTTTACCAGTTGATATTTCAAAATGGAAAACATTTCTAAACAAAAGAAAGTATATTATTTAACTTTGACAGCCATGGAAACGTACACCTTCAAGATGATTATGTAGAACACAAAATAATGATTATTACATAGCATTTAATGTAAAAGAAATGAATGTTTTATTGGAGGGTGAAATGAACATCCTAGACTGATATTCTCCAAGAATGCCTATTCCTCAGCTCAGTTATCCTGGAAAACATTAAACAATGAGATGCAGTACACAAGAACTATCAAAAGGGAGCACTTTTGAGCCACTGAAACCATACGATAGGCTGAAAACCACAATCTCCTAGCTGCGGACAATGATACTATCTCAGGTATTTTATGTGCTAAAATGATCATTAAAAATTAAGCACCACATATAAGCTGCCATTTAGAATATTAATTTACCTTTACTAATCATCTTTTTAACTTGAGGCTAAAAGAGTTCACTTACCATTCGGATACTCAGGCTTAGTCCATGAGATGTTAAAGGACTCAGATGAATATGACTGGGCTTTTGGAGCAGGAACACCTTCTGGTGTACTCTCATCTGTTATAGCTGTGCTAGCTTCACTTATTGAACATCCACCTCCCGTGCAAGCCTTAAAATATGAATCAAAACAAACATATTTCAATGTAAAGCCAATAATTTTAGCAATGATTTTTTGTAAAGTTTTATAAATTTTACTTATCTAAACTTATCAAGTCTGTGCTTTTTATAGAAGATACTTTTCTTAGCATAGATTTGTTACCTCTTTTTGATGTGCTACTCATGATACTTAGTTTTTAGGTATAATATAGCTAAATCATTATATTAATGTTTGACTTGTAGCATTTTGCATTTGACTATTAGTCATAATCACAATTAGATTTCCACTGCTTTTGCAGCCGCAGGTAAAGAAAATTACAGTACAGTATATATCATTTACTGTGCAAAACTCTTCTGGAATTGACTGAAAAGTTCTCACAATTTCCAGATGCAGAATACATTGAGCAAGTTGCAACACACTTTAAAAATTATCTCAAATAGTTATTGAGAAAAAAATGCCATTCAGACAGTCCTGCACTTCATGACAGCACACAAACTGGCACACAGATGCAATAAAAATAGTGAAAAACCACTCTATTATAAATCAATATGCAACACTTATTATTACATGTTTATGGATAACAAAATCAAATCATTTGTATTTCAGTTACCACGGAAGAAAAGATTGATTACACGATTTTTACATTTTGCTTGATTATGAAACAATCCAATGTGCAAGAAAATGTGCATATTGCCCCATATAACAGGCTTTGAAAATTTTACATACACAAACACAAGACTACACAGCTATGGTCCTTACATGTGCTGGTTTTCCAATTACTTGCCCTAAGATCAATGATAAGAGACAGGATTTCTTAGAGAAGTTAAAAACAATATACAAGAATATATCAACTCTGTACTGGATTTAAAGGTGCTTGGTTTAGTTTATTGTTTCTTTTTAATGTTATTGTTTAGCAATAAAATAAATCAAATCCTGAATTCAACAAAGATTCAGATTTAGACATACTCTTAATTAAAACTTATGGGACCACCTGTGTTTTTAGGAGTTGCCCACGTGCTGAAGCGGACAAGTAGCCCACTCTGGATCATCAGCACACAAAGGTAAAATTATCTTGCTGTCCAGATCTCCAGGAATAAAATGTTTCTCTCAATCAGAGAGCAGTCAGTGTATTTCCTACCCCACTCCAAAAGTGTATACTAGCCCCACGGGTAAAAATAAGAACTGTTTGTACAGGAGAGGTTATTTTATACATCAAGATTGTTTTGGATTCACTGGAAATTACACTCCCAACATAACTACAAAACTACTCCCTGTGTTCAGTTTGCTCTATCAAATAAAGATGAAATCAAGCAACCTCAGTTTTGGGAACATCCAAAAGTGGCATTTACTTTAAACATGATAGTTTCAAAAAGAAAAAAAAAAAAAGTAATCTTAGACAGATGCTCAGATAACTGTTGGCATTTTGATAGGGAAAATATTTAAGAACATCATTCTTCCAGCAAAGGCAGGCTATTCTTCAAATCATTTCAATTCTACTGACTTCATGAAGAAGCCAAAAAGACCAGCTCTGGAAGACCTCTTCCTCATTCATTCCTTACTGGCTTGATAAACAAGTTCCACTAAGACCTCCTCAGCAGTAGAGGGCATTTTCACTGAAGGGCCTAGTAACAGCAGCTTTCCTATTAATTTATTTCTTGAATTTAATGTAGCTCAGTTTTTATATCTCTGAAACTTGCTCGAGTATGAAGTTTCTGATTCTTCTAAAAAAACCCAACCCAACCCAAACAAACAGTAAAAGAAAGCTTATCTACATTTTAAATAGTAGGATTTCACATTAATGTATCCAAGTGGACTGGACACTGCTGGGACTCTGGCAATCATATCCAGTGTTGCTCAAAGCCATGGAAACCTACACCTAGATCAAGCCCCATTGTGCCATTCTGAACTTCACTGAGTAACAGATTTGAGGCAAGATGTGCAAAAAACCAAAGCATCTGGAGAGCCAAGGCACAGATACAAATCACATAACAAGACACTACACAGCAATCCTCCAGCTAGCACCCGAGCTAGCTTACCCACACAACACAGCCCTGAGGAGATATTAGCTTAAGAGTTAAATCACAAAAGCACACAAGTCATATACATGGGTGTTCCACCCCAGGTACTAAATGCAGCCTTTCTGGTTTTCATTTGGTTCCAGATTGGCCTGGCTCACCCCCATCCAGTTTAGAGCATGAACTGACAAAAAGCAATTTCCTTTGCACTAACCCATGGAGACATGACCTTAAGACTTCTCAGCTGACTTTTGGAAAGAAGAATTAGATTTGCTTATAAAACCCGTCATACTCATTTATGAAATAATTTTTTACATATTAAATGGCAGTAATATATTGTGAAAATTGTTAACAGCATACAAAGATAACATTTTTTAAACTTTATTTAATGTGCTTATATTAACCTGTCATACAAAAGTTTAAGACAGCAGCCTGTGAGGTGCTGAAAGTTCTGTTGATGAGGTCCTGATTCTTGTGTTCAAAGCTGCAACTTTTGATAACTCAACTTCCAGTTTCCCACATAAAGCAAAATCATTTTTTGCATGGATAAAAACCAAAATTAATATTACCTGTGAAGCAAGTAAAACAAAAATGTTCTAGATGATAGAAATATTTCATTCTAATCAAAATAAAAGGAAGCATTTAGTTAAGTTTCCAGTGTTAAACATATTATATTGTTGGTTTTACTTTAAAAGTTTTATTAAAATTCAGATTAAATTAAATGTGAAACACTAAATATTTCAATTTCTTTCCAAGTGTGTGTTTGATTTGTTGGTTTGTTGTGGGTTTTTGTTTCGGTTTTTTTTTTGGTTGTTTTTTTGTTTGGGTTTTTTTTTTGGGGGGGGGGAGGGGTTGGAGGAGTTGTTGGTTTTTCTTTCATCAAGTGTAACATATGGCCATGTTTAAGCTTCATAACTTGTAAATCTCCAATATTACATTCTTCTCAGACTAGTCTGACAAGTTCTAAATACAATGGATCCAAATGTTTTAAGAAAGCTCTCACATCTCAAATATATTGGGCATTTCATGCACTTTTGGACTTGACATTTTCAAAACTGCAAGAACTTTTAGATCGTTAGATCTGCCTATCACAGACCATTGCAATTTATTCAGGTAAATCTGGTTATCTTCATCACCAGAAGAAATGATCTTTTCTTACTTTCTGGTTACCACAGATGCAATGAAATATAAAAAAAAAAAAAACCAAAAAACAACACCAAACCAACCAAACAAGAAAATGAACAATAAAATATAAAGATCAAAGGTTCCTATAAACGTATTCAGTAACTTCTAAAAAAAGCTGTACATGTTGATGAAGTGAACACAAAGTCCACGCAACACTTCTTTGTTTTAACCACATCCCAAGGAAGAGCCATCAAAAGAAGCTGTTCTGGTTGCTCACCAGATTCTGGCTGTTAGTTCTGCCCTGATGCTCCCTCCTTGTGCCCCCATGCACAGGAGCTGACCCCGAGTAAAGAAGAGATACGGCACAATGAAGGACAGCACAAACTCTTTTGATAGTGCCGCTTGCTTATAAAGGCATAAAATGCTTGTTTAAAGTATTGCCTTAGTTTTGGACATGGTGCTACTTTATATGCTATATAATTTACTATGCTGAAATATCTAGGCACAAATGAATTAATTTCAACATGAATCTAAGCTTTAATTAGACTGAATATCCTTGCTTTTTCAAGTTCAAGTCAGGTCCTTATCATTACCTGAAGGTAGTTTATTTTTTGTGGTATAATATTTAGAACATTCAAGAGCATGTTAAGAAAAAATGAATGCATACCCAGTCTACATAAATGTAAATTTATTCATAATCAAGAGCAGAATATTTTTCTGTGGCATTTATCAAAGCAAATATCCTTATATAGGTATTGTTATAAAATGAGCAGTGTGCTTAAAACAAGGGACAATCCCATGCTTTTATGCACATATTTTCAGGTTTGTTAGTGAGCTGAAGCTGTTCTATTTCATCACAAAATAAAACCAATAATAAAGAAATGCAGTGAAAACACCAAGATCTTTTAAAAAATGTTTTGAATAAACAAACTGCTACTTTACAACAAACTCTCTACTATTTCCTTCTACATCCAGATTTCATGAAGAAAAAGCAAATTATCATGGTACAAAATGTGGAAGGCTTAAATTTTCAGATAAATATTTTCTTGTAAATTGGGGGCAGGAGACATTTTTTAAGTCTTTCATGTATTTCTGGTCAATCCTCTGTTAGTTATGATCCAACTTATCCTTGAAAAATATCTGTATTTAAATTACATATACATTTTTTTGAGGGCCTATTCTGAAACAAAATACCTACCGTTGTTCAGGATAGCACATTCCCCTTAGTTTCAGAAAGAAGAGGTTAAACAAAGTGGACACATGAACCATTAAGTATTTAAGATGTTAACAATATCGGAATAATTTTCACCATTTTACACCTCTACTACACATCTTTAAAACTTACAGCTAGTTTTATGAGGTATTCAGTACCCGGGAAAAGCTGCTGAATAGTAAAATCCAGAAAAAGTTCTGTGCTGTTATAGATTACATTCCACTTTGTAAAATTCTGCTCATTGTTGGCAATATAAATTATGTAACGATCTAGGATTCCATTTACTTCTGCTGGTTCTTTCCATCTGCAAATAAATGCAAAATATGATTAAGACCAGCAAAGATTCAGGCCATACTGAAAAATATAAGGCAGACTTTGTGGGGTTTATTTTAACAATATGAAACCATAGTTGTGTCACCATAAAAATAAATCTAAGGCATACTTCTAATGCAGTATTTGTACTCAGTAGATAAATGATTACAGTAACACACAAAGCAGAGGCTACAAAATGGGCATATCACCAGAACATTTCCTGAACTGAAGTTTGCAGAGGCTATGCCCATATGTAGGTTATACTGATTGCGTAAAGACAAAATGGAAATTAAGTTGGCAAGTGATAATCAGAAGGTTCACAGAACCACTAAACTAATCACTTCTATGCATTTAATCATAATAAATTTAATTTTATGTCACAAACCCTTCCCCTGATTGAACTCACTGGAATTCTTGAATAAACTGATACACTATTGTGTTGTTAGAAAAGAAGAAATCCTTACTTACTGTACATATATTGTTCTAGAATCCAAAACCATCAGGAGCGGGGCATCTACATGAGATGGTGGCAGCTGTGCTGTAAACAAGGTGACCTGGGAACTGTTTGTACAGCCAGCAAGCGTGCACGCAGTGAGCAGAAACTGGTGTGGCGTAAAAACTGCTAAATCTAGGGGAAAAAAAAAAGGAATATAAATTTACTTAGTATATTAATTTTACCTTGTTTTTCTGTAACTTTAAGAAGGTAGTAAATTCAGAAAATCAAGAGTAATAGGGACCCATATCTCTTAAATGTTTTAGATTTGTCCCGGAGGCATGAATAGGTGCTGGCTGTTTAACAGCAAATAACTGCAAATTCTGACTACTAATAGGTCTATGGGGCACAGTTTAGTTGAGATGACCCCATTGTACGCACATTTACACTCAAATGTACACCACCCAAACAAAACAAAGATGTTAGCCTCTTAGGTGCTACATAATATATCAATTTGCTACAGTGGCAAATGAACACCTTTAAAATGATTAAATCAAATCAAATTAATGGAAAAATAAGTACAGGTTCATTAACACAGCCAGGTTATATATTTTTTTTTAAATGTACTGTATGCTACATAAATATCAAGCATCAATACATACAATGATTCACTCCATGCAGATTTCACTATAAGCATGAACACAAAGGAAGCTCATTGTTGTCATCACTCCTACTGGCCTGTTCTCTCTTTGCCTGTTTGTTTTCAGCTGCATGAATGCCAAATATTTGTAAAATATATTTCAGTAAACACAACATGTCTAATAGTATAACAAAGCAACTCTTAAATGGTTATTTAATATGAAGCTATCTTGGGTTTCAATTACTGCAGAAAATGGTGAATAAAATGTAGCATTTTTGTTGAATAAATTTTCTAAAAGATCTTTAACTTCATATATTCTTCCCTATACTAATAAAGGAATGGCTGTCAGAAAAAATTATAGCAGGAAAGTAATGCAGACATAGTCTTCTAATCTTTTTCTTCTTTTATTAAAATACAAATCATAGATTTTAATAAGCAAATCCTTTAAGAAGGAATTTACAGTTGAGGTTTTGGCAACAGTATAAGGTATACAAGCAAAATGCATATAATATAGATACACATTTTTAGTACGCCAGAAAAGTTCTGGATTTTTGAAAGACATAACAAATGCTAGTGTTTTCAGAGCCAAATACTATTATAATTTTGTACAAAAATATTTCTGAGCACAAATTCAAAAATTGCAACTGTGTGACAAAGACATCACCAAAGCAGAAATGTTGTAGATCCAACTTCTTTCTCATTAGTTTTCCCCTCATATAATGTTTCCAGTCCCTGCTGGAATGGAATTCCTTCTGATTTACTCCACCCTATGTGAGGAGCAAATGAACTCATGCATTTTTATCGAAAACACAATATCACTCAGTATTATTGTTCTACCATTCTCCATTCTGCCATGGAGCACATGGCAAAGTGTGAGTTAAAAAATATGCAGTAACTAAAAAAAAAAAAAATCATCAAGTGAATGCCTGTATCACAGTGACATGTTTAATCAACATAATGGGGGTGACTTTACCAGGGTTAAGCAGTGCTTATGTGGGTGAGAGGGGGAAAGCACACTCTAGAGCAGGTGCTCAAGCTGGCTCAGCAAGCAGAGAAAGTAAACTCCACATACTGCATCGACTGTATTGCCATCAGAGAAGCCACAAAAAGTACAGATGGAGATGGAAGTCTGTGAGACGAGTATCAGATACTCCTGAGACAAGTATCAGATACTCCATGTTCTGGGTGGGTAAACAAGTGACCAGAAGGGTTTTACTTTTATCAATGCAAAAATGAACAGTTGAAAGCAATCCATGGCACCTATTTAATTCATGTCATTGTAAACAGTGAATACAGATTCTTCTCTCTAAGTTGAAACTGTATTGTGGGGCTTCAGTTAGCAGAGTGAACATAACACAAGGGGAAGTAGAAGATAAAAAGTGGATTTCTCCTTTTCCACTTGTTTATGGTGGATCACTGTCTTCCTTGTACACAGATTTGGGATGGGGGTTGGGGAGAGGTATCTTCCTCTCCTTTAAGAAAAATTCCTCATCAAGGAACTGCTGTTTTTTTTTAAAGGTAGCTTGTACTAAAACCCTGATTTGATGCTCACTGTAGCTGATAAGACTACTTGCATGCATAAGAGTTCCTGGTAAGACTTGTTAAATTTGAAGAGAGAAAATCTTTGTCAAGGACCAAGAGAATGAAAGATGAAAAAAAATGTTTTATTTCCCTCCCTCAAAAAAAAGCGACTATAAGTTACTATGTGTGTCTCAGTGCCTGGAATGGAAAAAGCAAAAAGAGAAGACAGGGAAACATGCAAAGTTTAAAAGAACAGGAATAACAAGGAACAGAAACACAGAACATATGAGCAGCAAGATCCTTTAGGATCAACTGATAAGTATACTGAGAGGGGAAGAAGGCAGGCAGGCAGGCAGGCAGGCAGGCAGGAAGTTAAAAAAAAAGTAGAAAAATAAAATATGGAAAAAGCAACATATCTCCAAGATCAAAGGAAATTTTTATTCCTCATCTTGATTTAATAATGCCAATGTATTTTGAATAATAAATGCTGAATAGGAAGTTTCAGTGGAATCTGAGAGATTTAAGTGGGATAAAGACTCAAAAGAAAAATTACTTTAGAGGGAGCAGAAGAAGATAATACAGAAATTAGAGTCTTCAGAATGTCACTCAAAGCATGAGCTTCGCAGCCAATGCAAATCACCTTCATCAAGGTTTGGATGAGCTCACAAAGATAGTACAGGTAGTGTTTCTAAAAGGTTAGAACTAGAAACTGACAAATTGAACAATAAAAATCACATTACATCATAACTGATGCAATTATTTGTCACAATCTGATCTGGCAGATATTTTCTTATGTAGAGTTCAAAGTGTTTCATAATGGATCACTGGATTCAAACAACTACAGATACAAACATGAATCTGAATGAGGAGGGAAGAGGTTCTGAAAACTACAAAGCCACTGTTTGTCAAGGTCCTCTAGCAACAATGTCTTGTTTTCCATTTGCTTGATTGCATGATTTGCATAAGATCAAATGTAGGCAATTGTAGACATGAAAAACAGATCACACTCAAACACATTAAAAATGGATCCACAAGCATTATCTAGAAATGCGTTAAAAGAAAATGCACCCCAGTGCATGGAAAACTCAGTGATTAATGTCAAACAAACTATAATTTACAATATAGGGCATGAATTATATGTTATTTTACAATTGATTTCATGCTGTTGCTGGAAGAATTTCATTGATCTCAATTTACAAAATGAACCCAATAAGCAGGCAACTATTTTCTTTTTAACTCACAGCAAAAAAATGGAATGTTTTTCCTACACACTTGCTTGATCAGATTATATTCCTGTGTGCTCCACAATTCCAGTATCCTGTGTTACTTTAAAATAATATCAAATGTTTCTTATTGCAATTTTCCAATAACTACTGTCTTAAATGACATATTTCTTACCAAAACAAAGCTAAACTTGAAAATTAGAATGTTTTATTTAGAAAAAACTAAATTCAGGATTTGGTCTTTTAGTCAGTTCTGGACTTGGGCAAAAAGTACCACAGGGCAAAGAAAAAACAGACCTCCTTGGGGGTACAGGATTCCCTCAAAACATACTAGTAAGGTAGAAGGTAGACAGAACAATAATTTTGCATTTTTTTACACCAAAAACAGAACAAAAGAAGAACACTAAAATAAAACCCCACATACCTGTTTTAAAACCATAACTTACTTTCCCAAAAGCAAAGAAAAAGGGGGGAAGAGAAAGGGGAAGGGCAGGGAGATAAGGGATCAACCTGCCTTTTCATCTCTTTGACCTCAGAGGCAATACAAACAAACTAAATTCTTTTTGAACTCATATGTCAGCAAGAGAATTGCTAACTATAGTGGCTATCATTAAAATCGACATTTGCATACCACTACATTTATTATATATGTGGTATACATGGAACTTCCCACACTAATCAAGGCAACTATCTTAAATATCATGGTAAATCTAACTATAGTGGTTGGTATATATCCAATTTCTAATAACCACCAGCATAAGTCCTGATAGAACAATCAATGCATGAGACAGAAAGAATAAAGAATGACCCTGTTTGCATGGTCAATAAGAACACTCACTTTGCTTTGATCAAATTTAATGGGTAGTCATTGAAAGATAATATGCAACACTAGAGTGCTACTTTTAGCATGGAATTTGAGAGATGTTACTAAGATGGAGAAGAAAAACAGTAGAGTTAAAAAAAAAAACAAAAACCAAAAACCAACACTGAAATTATAGATTTAAGAACTTGACTCAAAAAATGAGCTTTACTGCCAAGAGTACATCACAGTTCAAAAATGACAGAGTAGTGATGTCTACAGTGTTTTAATTTCTTTGTAACATACAGCACTCTGTATTCAGGTTTACAGCAAGAGATACATAATCTTCTTTCCTCCCCTTTTCTACCCTATTCCCCCATGCTGCCTGGTTTCAGGCAGCTATTGTAAGGACGTGAAATGGCAACGTCCTGTCTTGGTGAGCACTCAGTTGAAACGTGACTTGTGTAAGGAACCCCACACAGCTTTCTTCCAGGAAAATAATTGAGACAATAGCTATCCCATTGCTATATTCAAAGGAAAATAACACAGCAGCACAGTAGCAAAGGATTGTTAGCAGAATAACAAAGAAAACCTGCTGAGAGAGTATGAAGATGAAAAACTTCCAAAGAATTCCAATCACCACGTTGTTTATGTAGGTAGGCTGGATGACTACTTCAGCTCATTACTCACAGCCTTATTCTGTTCTCTCATCTTCTTTCTCATAGTTTGTTAAGTTAACTCACAGTAACTTAATATTTAATTAGAAGGTAAACTCTTTGGGACTATAAATCTGCATCACCAATACAATGATGTCACCACCTGACTTTTATGCACTACCAAAAAAAACCCCACCCAAATTCATAAAGTGCCAAGATTGTATTATCAGGCTTGCTCCATCAGACATCATTAGCAGTTTTTTCCCTTCCAACATTTTCTGAAAGCAAGCAACAACTCATATATAACTTTTCGTATACTATATCCTGTTTTCTGTATTTATAAAGGACCAATCACT